TGTCTTCAAGCTGCTGGTGTGTCTGTTTATTTAACCTGTGTCTTGAAGTTGTTGGTGTGTGTGTTATGCTAACCTGTGTCTACCAGCTACTGGTGGGTTTCGTTTACTAATCTGTGTCTACCAGCTGCTGTTGTGTCTGTTTTACTAGCCTGTGTCTACCAGCTGCTGGTGTGTCCGTGTTACTAACCTGTGTCTACCAGCTGCTGTTGTGTCCGTGTTACTAACCTGTGTCTACCAGCTGCTGGTGTGTCCGTGGTACTAACCTGTGCCCACCAGCTGCTGGTGTGTCCGTGTTACTAACCTGTGTCTACCAGCTGCTGGTGTGTCTGTCTTACTAACCTGTGTCTACCAGCTGCTGGTGTGTCTGTCTTACTAACCTGTGCCCACCAGCTGCTGGTGTGTCCGTGTTACTAACCTGTGTCTACCAGCTGCTGGTGTGTCTGTCTTACTAACCTGTGTCTACCAGCTGCTTGTGTGTCTGTTTTACTGACCTGTGTCTACCATCTGCTAATTCACATAAAATATGTGTACTATTTGTTAAGGTTGTGCATGAAAAGAGATGTTCAGTCATAAAATAAATGAGTATTAAGAAACGATGTTTCTAGCTGCACTTAACTGAATATGTCTAAGAAAGTCATCGTTGAAATTACTTAACTCCGTAAACCACCTTTGTCTGGTTAGTTTTCTTCATCTTATTTAAATATCTTATTTAAAACTTAATAATTTGCAAATAACAGATAAACAGCTGAGAAAGAATGAGTTGGATAGCTTGCCAAATATACTTTTGTAGAAGAGAATATTAGTATCAGGGAGGTTCAATACTTTTACAACAGGAATAAGTGAGCGCTTTTGTACCGCTTACATTAATTTTACTATAAGACGTTGGTAGAACAAGACTTATCGTTCTTGTTTGAAGTAGTACTGGTGTTCATACACCAATATAGAAACCTTTGAGAGGGCACAAGTCTACATTTGTCCGGGAAAGGGACGAGCTGGTCACGAATGCGTCCTCAATTCTCCGGACTGTCCACCGTGCCGCTGGTTCTCACTCACGGAGAATGCTGCCTGCAAATTAGTGAGCCCATTATAAATAAGACACCTCCCACACACCTCCTTTTGTCCACTTTCATCAGATCATTAGATCAACTGAATCTCTTAAAAGGTAACATTTGAGAGCACAACATGAATACCTTACCACTGTTTCTCCTGTATTGGTGGCAATACAGTGCATTCACTACCACTTGTGCCCTCCTCGAGGGTCAGTATATTGCCGATGAAGAGCAGTAAGTGAAACAATTCAAGCTCCGTATAAACAATGCACAGTATAGTCCAGATGATACGGAAAACACTGTCAATCCAAGAGAGTAAACACTACAAGACTAAGTTACCAAAGTCAACTGACCAACCGGACGCATGAACACACACTGACATTCATATCAAGCACAGTCTCATGGGAGCTCACGTGACGTGATGCTGAAGGGAATTATTAATTTTCAGTTATCATTTAGATTTAGATGATCAAACATATTTTAGCACAGAAGTATTAACCACAGTACAATCATGTCATACAGTACAACAAGCATGTCAGTGAATTCTCCATACAAGTATATCAGTAACCTACTTCAAATATTTGACCCATGAAGATCCGGGGTAGAATAGGTCTTCAGCAGCCCATTCTTGCCGTAAAAGGCGACTTTGCTCGTCGTAAGAGGTGACTAACGGGATCGGGTGGTCAGGCCCGCTGACTTGGTTGATGCATGTCATCGTGTCCCAATTTCGTGGATCGATGCTCATGATGTCAATCACGGGATTGTCTGGTCCAGACTCAATTATTTACAGACCACCGTCATATAGCTGCAATATTGCTGAGTGCGGCGTTAAACAACAAACAAACAAACAAACACACATCAAATAATCAAGGCGGTGACTTCAACAAACATAACATGTCTTTGTCCTGAAATACAATGAGGACAGACCTATAGCTAGAAAGGGCTGTAGCCAGCATATGACTTGATGGAGTAAATCAGATACTATTTTGGACCTTGATGCCATTAACAAATATAAATTGGAGGACCCATGAAGGTGTAAGCTTATTTATCTTGAAACAATTTCATTAGATACATAGATGATCTGATTGGAACTACCCATCTAAAACAATATCTTCAGAAAACGTGGTTTATTAATATTTGGATATTTATTACTTCCTTCCATAGTATTTTATCCAGATCACATGAACCAATCAGTTCACATCTTTCTAACATGGAGGTATGATAAAATGTGTTATTCCACATACATCCCACTTCTACATATCAAATTTCAAAATGACATGCAGAAGTGGCTAATGGCAAATATGGTTGCCATGTTTCAAATAGAATGGAATTCTGTGAGCAAATTTTAGAGACACCATTGCTGGTATCGTCAGCTTTATAGGCCTTGACGTTTTAGAGTGAGTGAGTGAGTGAGTGAGTGAGTGAGTGAGTTGGGTTTAACGCCACTTTTAACAGTATTCCAGTTATATCACGGCGTGTCAGCTTAATGTGGGAGGAAAGCCCCAAGTGATGCAGGTCTCAGACATTTACCACTTCGGTGAAACCCACGAGCACGGGTATGGTGCTGACAAACCTAGAAACATAATCAAGGGCAAACCGGGATTCGAACCCACAATCATAGGTTTCTGGCGTGCCCAAGGGACGCAACTCTGCACAGCGAATCGCGGCGCCTTAGACGACTGGGCCACCCGTGCCCCCTGAAGTTTTAGAGACAATGAAAATGTCAAAAGTTACCGATGAATCACAAAGATGTCAATGCTCATGTTAAAACTTTACACAGATGACCGGCACCAGGTACAGGAAGATAACAGAAGCTCACCATGGATGCTCAGAGTAGGCAAACAAATAAAACTGGAACTAGGGACAGTATCGTGTTTATTAAGTATTGGTTGTTATACAAGGCTGTGAGCAGATGGTAAATTGATACTATGAAATACATGACTTTTCATGCAGAGATGCATGATCCAATTCATGTACCCAGGCATACAGTAAAGATACGCATACATGTTGTATAAATACACACATCAGTATGATACTCAGACATACAGTGTGATACACAGACATACGGTATGATCAGTATCATACAGACATACAGTGTGATACACACATAAAGTATGTTACAGACATGGTGTGATACACAGACATACAGTATGATACAGAATGATACAAAGACATACAGTATGATACACAGACATACAGTATCATACATACAGTACGATACATAGGCATACAGCAGATACAGTACGATACACAGCATACATACAGTATGTGACACGATCAAAGTGTACCTCAAAGACAATCAGTATGATATGCAGACAGCTGAGCTCATAAAAAGGTAAATTAAATAATAAACTCGTAAAGTTGAATTAAATGCATACCTCATGACACAAGCCCGAGCTGAGATACAGCAGCAAGTATCAGACCAGCGACACATGTACAGTATCAAAATAATCAACAACCAAGTCATACACAATACTGACTTGCATAAAAACCCATGACCCAATTCATTCTCATATATACACCTGGAAAAAAAAGCATTGGACTGCCTACTACATATTTCCACATAAAATAGTCAGTTTTTTAAAATGGTAGCTTTTACCTTTATGACAAAATACATATATTTTGTTTGCAAATTGACATCCTGATATTGAAATACAGAAAGTCAAGTCCATGATGACATGCCATGTTTTGTACCCTATGACATGACCCAGGACAGTGAAGCAACTACCCAGGGGCTGATGGTACATGTAACATTTGTAACAATTAGATCAATGGCATACGTTGATACTTCTAGAAGATCCATAGAGGTGAGTTGAGGTGAGGTGACATGGGGTTACCGATGGGTTCAAGATTGCTAAATACTTATTGTGTGTGTGGCTGCTTGTATTAGTCGTTTGTTGTTGCTTTGAGTGTTTAAGAGGTCGCCTTCTTCCTCAGCAATTTCAGCTGACCTGTCCGTCTTTGGGCATGTTGGGACTCCTGTGTGAGAGCAGGGTACACATATCTATTGTGTGTTTTAGTATTCATAAAATTCCTGTTGTCATATTGATAAGATTTCTATTTTCATATATTGATATGATTTCATTTCATTCACCAACAAAAAAGAATATTTAAAAAAATAAAATATATATAAAATAATGTACTAGTCCGGACTAATCCTGCAGTTTCATATAAATCCCCCACTCAGACACAGTATACCGACTCGGACTGACCAGTCGTTGTTTTATCCCATTAATGCCAACAACTTCAAGTGCCATCATTAATGTATTTGGATGTCACAAGGCCGGGAATTGAAGCACTGACCCTCGCTCTTCGGGCAGATGCTCCATTCACTAGACCACACAGGTGGTCAAAGACATCTGGAGGTTGGGGGCAGATCAATAAATTTGCAAGTGATTCCATGGCATTTGATTGGCTAACCAAGAAATCTGTTTCCATAAACCATCACAAAAAGGTCAAGCCCACCACTAATGTGCCCACACTGCACTCACCCAGAAACAATAGACCACGTACTACTACATTGCACCCACTACCTCACACAACGTACAACATTACAAACCAACCTAAATCCAAATAACGCTCTTACCTTAGAAGCAATCCTTAACCCCCAAAATAAAATAGAAAACTTCAAAGCCCTAGGCATTTACCTAACCAAAACAGAACTAATTAACCGTATTTAAAACTTCACTAAACCACCAACACTAAACATCCAAAAAACATCAACTCACCCCCACACACTCCCTTAGTCCCAACCACTCCCCCAAGGCATGTATTCCAAATCTCAAAATTTCAAAACTTTATATAAGCAACCACTAAACCCCCCTCCTTGGTTGCACTCCTCTCGCTACCACTTTTATACCACTAAATGGCCCGGCCGGGCCCGTGTGCGAAATACGCTCCAGTCGGAAAGCGCACGTAAAATCTCCTAATATAAGTAAGTAAGTAACTAATGGTTTGTGTTGCATTATTGCACTGATCAATGTCACTGATTTTTTATTGTTGTATTCAGTTTTTTGTGTTAATGATTAAACAAGTAGTCTAGGAAGTCATTATTGTTGACTTGTTTGTTTACTGGTAAAAGAATTGACTTCTATAGTATTTTGCATTGATGGAGGTATAAATATAAAACCTGGTATGTACACTGGGTACATCTGCATAGCAGAGTCACGCAAATGAATGCAAAACTCCATAAACTCTATAAATGCAAAAAGTCTTGGAGTCAATTCTTAAAAAACTGGGGTGGTGCTGAACTTTTTCCAGGTGTATATATTTGAAAGACTGCATTATCATTTTAAGTCAGTATACTTTTCACTAATTTCCCAAAGTTTCTTCGCAATGCCGAGGTCGTGTGCGACACGGTTGACGGATTTATCTGCATCGCGGCAGTCACAGTAGTAGCGTCCACTGACTCCCTCCATCTCCTCACTAACAGCGCAGTGTATCGATGTCTGGGCCCCTTCATCGGGACTCTGGCAACACAGGACAAAGTTAGGTTACACTTGAGTCATTATTAGTTTGAAATATATAAGTCTATTTCTTGTATGCACACAAACAGCAATAGTATACATGTCATGTTTATTTGTTTACAACAAGTAATGACACATTAAATTGTGGAATTTATGCAATACAAACTTGGTAGATATACGTACAGAGAAATGCACAACATTTATTCAATTCAACTATCGGAATATCCTAGCAATATATTTTGTTTAGAAATACATATTTTTATACCGATTTTGAATTCAATCCATTTATTTCAGTCCAAACATACGATGAACAAATGTTTCCTTTTCTTTTGTCCAGAACTCTCTACTCAACAGGCATCTTTACAGCATGTCCATCAAGTTCCACACTTCTACATGACACTTGGCATTGCAGAGGGCCACATTACATGTGTATTTCATAGAGGACTACTAGTACCGTGACACTACTGGCAGCCACATATGTCCGCACATCAAGGTCAAAGTTTGAACTTTGTGGCCAATATGACAGAGCAAAACCAAACATGGTCTTGTTTCCACATATTTCTGTATATCCAATTATCTTATCAAACAGAGCTACAGATAAGCTGCGTATTTGCGTAAAATACCCTCCAAAACTATTTAAAATCCAATTACTTTCAATTAACTTGGGCACAGGAACGCAGGCATTAAACGGAAAACTCAATTGTTTGAAAACAGTATGCGTAAAAACCCAATGAAGCTTTTTCGGCATGCGAACAATGAGTCAAACCTATATTTAGAACCGTGATATTACATCTAAAACATTATTTCATTTTTTTTTAAATCTCAAAATGTTTACTCATTTGGGGAAAAAACATAGAGTGATGAATAGATGAGTATGATTATTGGTTACCCAATGAAAAATGTAATAACCCAATTAAAATAGAAACCGTTGATTGAGTAAAAACTCAATTGCTCAAAAAGGTATCTGGAGCTCTGTGAAACATGCAGAATGGCCAAGGAATGGACTAGAATAACAATTGCTGGATGACACCTATGCTTGAAGTCAGATCAGTGAAGTCAGATTGCTGGGATGAAAAAGACCAAATTTCAGTTTCATAGATTCAGAGGAATAATATTTTATCCTGGTTCATACATCATGCAGGAAACCCTGGCTTCATTCCCCACTTGTGGGAGGCACATTCCCAATGTCCCTGTTCTCATGTGGCTGGAATATTCCTCAAAGCAGCACACAACCAAATTCACTCTATTTCTAAATAAATGATTTACCAAAAGCTTTCGTCATAATTCCATGTGTTTAAATCTTTGCAGATGTGATCTCAGTGCAATCCAAACTTGACACTGAGGGAAATGATATTGATGCAACACCAAGTTCTACACACCTTAAAGAACAGACAGCCAAACAGGGTGATGGGAATCTGTACAAAGGAGGGGATGTTCCTCAACAGGTCGGTCCTGATGGTGCCAGGATGAAGGCAGTTGGCTGTCACACCTGTCACATAAACACAGGTAGTACACAGACAACATACCATCTCACCTGTCACATAAACACAGGTAGTACACAGACACATCATCACACCTGTCACATACACACAGGTAGTACACAGACACACCATCACACCTGTCACATAAACACAGGTAGTACACAGACACACCATCACACCTGTCACATACACACAGGTAGTACACAGACACACCATCACACCTGTCACATAAACACAGGTAGTACACAGACACACCATCACACCCGTCACATAAACACAGGTAGTACACAGACACACCATCACACCCGTCACATAAACACAGGTAGTACACAGACACACCATCACACCCGTCACATAAACACAGGTAGTACACAGACACACCATCACACCCGTCACATAAACACAGGTAGTACACAGACACACCATCACACCTGTCACATAAACACAGGTAGTACACAGACACACCATCACACCCGTCACATACACACAGGTAGTACACAGACACATCATCACACCTGTCACATAAACACAGGTAGTACACAGACACAAAATCTCACCTGTCACATAAACACAGGTAGTACACAGACACACCATCACACCTGTCACATAAACACAGGTAGTACACAGACACACAATCTCACCTGTCACATAAACACAGGTAGTACACAGACACACCATCACACCTGTCACATACACACAGGTAGTACACAGACACACCATCTCACCTGTCACATAAACACAGGTAGTACACAGACACACCATCTCACCTGTCACATACACACAGGTAGTACACAGACATACCATCACACCTGTCACATCAAAACATAAACACAGGTAGTACACAGACACACAATCTCACCTGTCACATAAACACAGGTAGTACACAGCCACACCATCACACCTGTCACATCAAAACATAAACACAGGTAGTACACAGACACACCATCACACCTGTCACATACACACAGGTAGTACACAGACACACCATCACACCTGTCACATCAAAACATAAACACAGGTAGTACACAGACACACAATCTCACCTGTCACATAAACACAGGTAGTACACAGACACACCATCTCACCTGTCACATAAACACAGGTAGTACACAGACACACCATCTCACCTGTCACATAAACACAGGTAGTACACAGACACACCATCTCACTTGTCACATAAACACAGGTAGTACACAGACACACCATCACACCTGTCACATACACACAGGTAGTACACAGACACACCATCACACCTGTCACATAAACACAGGTAGTACACAGACACACCATCACACCTGTCACATAAACACAGGTAGTACACGGACACACCATCACACCTGTCACATAAACACATAAACACAGGTAGTACACAGACACACCATCACACCTGTCATATAAACACATAAAGACAGGTAGTACACAGACACACCATCACACCTGTCACATAAACACATAAACACAGGTAGTACACAGACACACCATCTCACCTGTCACATAAACACAGGTAGTACACAGACACACCATCACACCTGTCACATACAGACAGTACACTGTGGGACTAGTAGAGGTCACCTACAGAGAACAAACCTGTATTACTCCATGCCAGTGTGTGAGGGAGTGTCTGGACCTCATCATAGATTCCATGCCAGTGTGTGAGGGATTGTCTGGAACTGATCATAGATTCTATGCCAGTGTGTTGTGTCTAGGCCTGATCATAGATTCTATGCTAGTGTGTGAGGGAGAGTCTGGACCTGATCAAAGATTTCACATCAGTGTTTGAGGCAGTGTCTTGACCTGATTATAGATTCCATGCCAGTGTGTTGTGTCTGGACCTAAGCATAGATTCCACATCAGTGTTTGAGGCAGTGTCTTGACCTGATCACACTGGTTTGAGCTAGTGTTTGAGGGAGGGTCTGGACATCATCATAGATTCCACATCAGTGTTTGAGGGAGTGTCTGGACCTGATCATAGATTCCACATCAGTGTTTGAGGGAGTGTCTGGACCTGATCATAGATTCTATGCTAGTTTGTAAGGGAGTGCCTGGCTCTCATCATAGATTCGATGCCAGTGTGTGAGGGAGTGCCTGGACCTGATCATAGATTCCATGCCAGTGTGTTAGGGAGTATCTTGACCTGATCATAGATTCCATGCCAGTGTGTGTGTCTGGACCTGATCATAGCTTCTTTGCCAGTGTAAGAGGGAGCGTCTGGACCTGATCATAGATTCCATGCTAGATGGTGAGAGATGGTCTGGACCCGATCACAGATTCTAGGCCAGTGTGTGAGGGAATGTCTGGACCTGATCATAGATTCTATGCTAGTGTGTGAGGGAGTGTCTGGACCTGATCATAGATTCTATGCCAGTGTGTGAGGGAGAGTCTGGACCTGATCATAGATTCCATGCCTGTGTGTGAGGGAGTGTCTGGACCTGATCATCGATTCTATGCCAGTGTGTGAGGGAGTGTCTGGACCTGATCATAGATTCCATGCCAGTGTGTGAGGGAGAGTCTGGACCTGATCATAGATTCCATGCCTGTGTGTGAGGGAGTGTCTGGACCTGATCATAGATTCCATGCCAGTGTGTGAGGGAGAGTCTGGACCTGATCATAGATTCCATGCCTGTGTGTGAGGGAGTGTCTGGACCTGATCATAGATTCCATGCCTGTGTGTGAGGGAGAGTCTGGACCTGATCATAGATTCCATGCCAGTGTGTGAGGGAGTGTCTGGACCTGATCATAGATTCCATGCCAGTGTGTGAGGGAGTGTCTGGACCTGATCATAGATTCCATGCCTGTGTGTGAGGGAGTGTCTGGACCTGATCATAGATTCCATGCCTGTGTGTGAGGGAGTGTCTGGACCTGATCATAGATTCTATGCCAGTGTGTGAGGGAGTGTCTGGACCTGATCATAGATTCCATGCCAGTGTGTGAGGGAGTGTCTTGACCTGATCATCGATTCTGTGCCAGTGTGTGAGGGAGAGTCTGGACCTGATCATAGATTCCATGCCAGTGTGTAAGGGAGTGTCTGGACCTGATCATAGATTCTATGCTTGTGTATGAGGGAGTGTCTGGACCTGATCATAGATTCTATGCCAGTGTGTGAGGGAGATTCTGGACCTGATCATAGATTCCATGCCAGTGTGTGAGGGAGTGTCTGGACCTGATCATAGATTCCATGCCTGTGTGTGAGGGAATGTCTGGACCTGATCATAGATTCTATGCCAGTGTGTGAGGGAGAGTCTGGACATGATCATAGATTCTATGCTAGTGTGTGAGGGAGATTCTGGACCTGATCATAGATTCCATGCCAGTGTGTTGTGTCTGGACCTGATCATAGCTTCCTTGCCAGTGTAAGAGGGAGCGTCTGGACCTGATCATAGATTCCACGCTAGTGGGTGAAGGAGTGTCTGGACCTGATCATACATTCGATGCCAGTGTGTGAGGGAGCGTCTGGACCTGATCATAGATTCCACGCTAGTGGGTGAAGGAGTGTCTGGACCTGATCATAGATTCCATGCCAGTGTGTTGTGTCTGGACCTGATCATAGCTTCCTTGCCAGTGTAAGAGGGAGCATCTGGACCTGATCATAGATTCCACGCTAGTGGGTGAAGGAGTGTCTGGACCTGATCATACATTCGATGCCAGTGTGTGAGGGAGTGTCTGGACCTGATCATAGATTCCATGCCTGTGTGTGAGGGAGTGTCTGGACCTGATCATAGATTCCATGCCTGTGTGTGAGGGAGTGTCTGGACCTGATCATAGATTCCATGCCAGTGTGTGAGGGAGTGTCTGGACCTGATCATAGATTCCATGCCAGTGTGTGAGGGAGTGTCTGGACCTGATCATAGATTCCATGCCTGTGTGTGAGGGAGTGTCTGGACCTGATCATAGATTCCATGCCTGTGTGTGAGGGAGAGTCTGGACCTGATCATAGATTCCATGCCAGTGTGTGAGGGAGTGTCTGGACCTGATCATAGATTCCATGCCAGTGTGTGAGGGAGTGTCTGGACCTGATCATAGATTCCATGCCTGTGTGTGAGGGAGAGTCTGGACCTGATCATAGATTCCATGCAAGTGTGTTGTGTCTGGGACTGAGCAGATTTCATGCCATTCACTGACCTGTCCCTTCCATGCGTCTGGCTAGCTCCTTGGTGAAAATCACATTAGCCAGTTTGGAATCGTTGTAGATACGGAATCTGTCAAAGCTCTTCTCTGCACACAGGTTGTCAAAGTCTATATGACCAAACTTATTTACTAGGGATGACACTGTAATTATTCTTGCTCTCCCGGTTTTCTTCATCAAATCTGGAGGAAATATAATAAAAAAATCCTTTGTATGTCTTACAACAGTTCAATCTAAAAATGTAGCGCCAAATATCCAAATATTTCCTGCATGATAAATAATGAAGACCAACTGATATATAAGTAATAACATTTCAACAATGTGTCTTCATGTGCAATAAATAAAACATTGTCATAAAAGATTTTGAACTTCTTTTTGTGGATGGTTTTATGACACCTCATTACCTTTTCAAAAGAAATGGCCAGAAAGTAGTTTTCAGATTCAAACCTCATGAATAAATTCAGGTGTCATCATTGGTTGGTAAAAGCATGTGAAGTTTCAGTGTCATTTTCACCTGGGGTTTCTGAGGAGATGATGTTTACAGAACCAAGAATGCATTTTAGAGAAGTGAAGAGCATGGTCAAAATGCAAAGGTCAAATCAAGGTTAGGAAGTAAAGCATTGCAGAATAAAAGTAACATATGTGTTGTGTCCCACTGGTAATTAAACATATACCATAGTCGCTGTATTTAGTGCCCCAGTCCAAGTAGCACCCCTGACCTGTTTCTACACCAATCTGTAATCTGTAAACTTTACATCACAGTCAGTGTTGTCCTGTTCAGAAAACACAACAGTTTAGAAGGGGTATCTAATGGGTGATCTTTTTCAATTTATCTTCCCTTCACTAACCCGCTAGGTGTGCTGACGGCGCATGTGGCATATGCGATATGAGTGGTGCATGTTACTATCACACCTATAGACAGTTAACCAGTATAGGCTTCACCTCTATCGGCAATGTTCATGCTGGTATATGGACAGTACATCTTTTCGCCTAAACAATGATCTATCTTCTTTGATAGGTATTTAGAAGTGGAGTACAAAGTAAGGTTAAGAATTTATGGATGAACAACTTCTCTATTACAATTAAGAGCGGCGTTTCGGTGTTTGTTCTAACACTTGCTTGATAACGGTGTTAGAACCTTACACTGAAACGTCGCTCTTAATTGTAATAAAGACGTTGTTCATCCACAAATTCTTATCTTTACTTAATGATCTATCTATCTAAACAATAGATGTTCCGTGATTCAATGATCCATCAGGGATGACCATGACTGCTGACATTGTATAGTTAACCACTTGATAGCCGCTGAGATCAGCTGATCATTCATTCACGTCACTTTGTTGACGTTTTGCAATCAGTATGAAAGTGATGCCCTTGGTGTTGGAATATCACATTTGTTAAAAGGGAGTAGATTTTCATTGTACTCGTACCCATATCTATTTTGTAGTATTGCCAAGCAGGCTTCATCATATGCATGCATTTAAGTACAGGGGCTAGGTGATGCCATACGAGAATTGTGAAGGTCTTATGCAACCTAAAGTTGCCAGTAGTCTAAATGTTGTGGATTTTGACAGCAACACATGAAAGTATGTATCAGGTATATAACTGAGAGAAGTGACAAATGTTTTCAAGATATTGTAAAAGAAACAGGCACTGACAAATTATGTCATCAACAAGATATCATAATACACTGTTCAATATAAAAGAAATGGAAATTCCAGTTTGATATTTAAGGGTTAATTGGTGTATGCTGTATAAGATATATATTATTATGTCCTTTTTAAAAAAATAATAATTAGAAATTTAAATATTTTTCAGACACAGAAGACCCTACATATAAGTTGAAATACATATTCAAGGCTACTAATACAAACTACATTTTTTTATCCTTTAAAACAATACAATATATTCATACTAATTTTCAATCTCTGTGAGGATGATTGTTTTAACATTGCAGTGTCTACATCCACTTTGCTTTGACAATCATCAGATGATTGTAATACAGACAAGGCTCATTCTTAATTTCATCAGGCCTTGCTTTTTTATGTTTGCTTATTCTTAAACTGATTTTTCAAATTCCCACATAAACAAATTATTATTGTTATTCTGTTTTCTCTTTACAGCAACAGATATCTGCATTGCACAATGACTGTTATTATTTTATTTGATCCTGCGCAGATGTAGAAATTTTATGATGGGCCAAGTAAGGCGGGTAAGTAGCATCAGGGCCGAAGAAATTCCAAACAGGCGCACCTTCCGTTGGTAATGGTGGCCTTGGCAAATAAACCGAAGGAAATGACAGTGCTCCCTGTGCATGGGGACGTGCAGATAAGCATCTTGTAGATCAAGTCTGTCCAGGAAATCGCCAGGATGAATGAGCGTGCGAAGGAGCATGATCGATGCCATGCCTAGGTGAGGCAGAACTCCCAAATACTTTGCATTGAAAATGTTGAAGATTAGCTGTAGCTATAGACTGTCTTTTGGGGAACAATGAAGATTGGTGAATAAAACCCGGGAGGAAGCAGGCCGAGGCATGCTGTGGCATTATTTAAAATCAACATACCTCCTGTGGGGGGCTGAGATCCCTGCTGTCCCCTGTACCCTCTCCTGCACCCGCGAATGGGATTACAATGGGAAGAGATGATGAACAGGCACAAACAGTGGATGGCTACGCTCCTTCTTTTCTCGATCTACCAGTTGGCGTTTCTGGAGTCGAGGAAGATCAACGGCCACATGAAGACCGGTGTCCTTCTGTACTTCATGTGCGACCTGTTGGATCGAGTCACCAAAGAGAGTATGTGAAGCCCATGGTTGGTGATAGAGTTTAGCCTAGACTGATCATCTCAAGAGCAATGCTGGAGAACAGGCTCACGGAGCCAGCGTGATGGGAGAGCAGGTCTAGGATGTTCATATGTTTATCCTGCATAAGGAGTATCACCCCTCTGATGAAGGCATCATCCTGAGAGTGATTGGAAAGTGAGGTGGAGAGTGCATCTGTTGCCGATAAAATAGTAGACACAAGTGGCAGCATACGTTTGATCATCTGACTGGGAGCGTTCAATGAGCTTGAGAGGGGAGTAGTCTTAGGATCGATGATGAGGACGGACCAAATGTCACCCTGGGGTGAGACAGATCAGAGGTCGAGAGGCCAGGGTTGGAAATGTGATCCATAAGAAAACTGTCTGAGACAGAGTCGTAGGATAGGCTCTTCCAATATAGTTGTGGATTTCTTAGATGACTATTTAGAATCTTTTACCAACAATCATCTTTGACATCGTTGGATGTAAAGCCAAAAGGCCGCCTCAGGTCCAGTGTCCACGGTCCCCGGCAGTCATAACACAGACTGTGGGGATTCGGTGAAGAATATGTGTGTCTGCACTTGGAACACGACGGCCTTTGTTTGTCTTTTTTGCCCATGGCCAAGGAAGTCTTATTCCACAGACAAAAGTCCAAATGACAATATTAGTAAAAAAATATTTTTTACATTTGTATTCTTATCCTGCATTACTCTGTATTGCATCTACTGCTGTCTTTTCACAGAGAGACAAACTGTGTGAGATCCAGCTGCTGGAGAAAGTTGTCCCAACCAGTCCAGGAAGCAGCGCCCTCTCACAGTCAGCACGTGACCTGGAAGTCATGACGTCACACCAAAACACATAACTGCTTTAAACATTACATCTGAATCTTCGTGGGGAGGTAGCGTAGCGAAAGGGAGGGCACTTAGACTTCGTTATGCAGGATAAGTATACAAATGTAAAAAATATTTAGATTTTACTAAATTTTTTAACTTATCCTGCATTACTCTGTATTGCATCTTTATCAGATGGCATGGCCGGTGGGCATACCTTCAGATGTGATCCATAACAAACCCTCATCAGGGTCCGATGAATCCGCACCGCATACAAGTCATGACCGGAACATCTACGACCATTCCTGTCTTCAGCAAACAAGAGTCGATGCAAAAATGAAACACCCGAATAGGTAACCGAAATAGAATGAGGCAGGTAGCCCAAAACTAGAACTTACCTAAGAGCGAAAGCGAAACGCAGTAGAGCCCTCTAATCTGAGGTGATAAACACCAAAGAGTTCGACGGGCCACAGTCGGGGTATCAAAAGAATCAGCGGCGGCAGCGGCAATATCTACGACAATTCCCAAGAGCGAATGCGAAACGCAGGAGAGCCCTCTAGTCGGAGGCGAGGAACGCCCTGATCTCATGTGGGTTGATAGCCTTGGAGGGGAGGGTCCAATCCAACGGCTTTATAAGCTTTGAGGATGACCCCCGGAGCCACAGGGAAAAGTACTCGGCTGACCAACGACTGCGACGAAGGGGAGACCGGCAGAAAGAAGGTGTTTCCTAGACTTGCGGCAGGTTTTAGATCGTCGTAGAACAATCTTCAGTGCCCTTACTGGGCATAATGACGCTCCTCCTCATCCTCGGCACCCACAATGGACGAGGGGGTAGAGGATAATGAATGATCTATCAGGCTCTCCTGGGAGTTGATTCTTTATGCTGAAGTCCCAGTACGGTCCATGATGAACGGCGCCCTGAGTACCGCGTTCTAACCTGACACGGGAGACGTCGAGGGCGTGCAGCTCATTGACTCAAGCGGCAGTAGCCAAAACCAGTAGAAACGCCGTCTTCTTCCTTAGGTCGTAGAAGGAAGACGAGTGGAGTGGTTCGAAGGGTGTTTAAGACCACATTCAGATCCAACGCAGGTGGTCTGAACTTGGCCTTCTGGTCTTCAAGATGGAATGAGCGCAGCCAGGCCTGTAGTTCGGGAATTTTCGTCATTCTCCGATCGTCCGGGATGGCAAGAACGGAGTTGATGGCGACCAGGTATGTGGAGGTGGTATAGAGCCCTTCAACTGGTGACGCTGTCATCGGATCCTGGTGTTTGTCTGAACAAAATGCCTGGAACGAGCATCATTTATCATCATACAGTACCCGTGTAGATAGGGCTGAAGAAATAGCCTTGGCCGCTCTAGCCGAATTAGCCCTTGGTTCATGGGGCTTTCTGCAGATGTGCCAGGCGTGCAGGCGAAACCATGCGGGTTTTAGGGTGTGGCAACTGACTGTGTGGCTGGAGCAGAAGGTTGGACCACACCGGAAGTTCCAGGGTTGTCTCTGGCGATGTTTCAGAGGTCGATAAACCAACTTCTGGCTGGCCACCAAGGCGCGACCAAAATCAGTGTCAGGTGCTGAGTGGCCTGGATCTCTGAAGAACTGGGGAAGGGAGAACCAGAGGCAGAAAAGCGTACGGGCGTAATCCTTCTCAGGAACAGCTGAAGGTGTCGACTGCCACAGTGGCTGTATCCGGCACCAGTGAAATGTAAGGCGACAGCTGGCAGATCAGAGATGTGGCGAACAGATCGAAGTTTGGGGTGTCGACCTTTTGACACAGTCTGGCCAGAGGCGCCGGAGAGCCCGAAGCGTCGAGAGCGCCCAAGGCATCGGAGAGCTTGAGGCGCCGGGAGTGCTGGGAGCGTCGGAGACCTTGAGGCGCAGGGAGCACCGGTGGAATTGGTAGCGCCGCGAGAGTGGAGAGTACCCTGGGTCCTCAAACACCACACTATGGTGATGTTGTCAGTGGACATGATCAACAGAGCGTGACCGAGAATTCTCTGCCAGCAAGTGACGTCCTGGATCTTGAGGCGCCCGAGGCGCCGGGAGCGCCGGAGATCTTGAGGCCGCAGAGGTGTTGGTAGCACTGTGAAGTTCGGCTGAGCGCGGCTGCTGTCAACGTAGATGGCTGACGAAACAGAAGACCCGTCCCGTTACGGGCGTCACCGGAAGAGGTCTTTCTTTTGTTGTCGATAAAGGTGACGGCAAGAGTGTAGAAAGACCGCAGTCTCCGAGTTGTAAGCCATATCAGGGGGTCGACGAGCACGTTGAGTGAGGTGTGTCCTGGATACTCGTATCGAGCTGAAGGAGCACAGCGATGAAGGACTGCAACATCGGCACTGCCTTGTGAAAGTACAGGACGCCGTACAATCACGGCAGAAGGGGCGGCCCCGACCAGATTTGTTCCCGCGGCAACAAGTGCAGCGAGGCAGAAAATCTGAAATTTAAGCAAAACATAACTATGTGGCAAAACCACAAAGTGAGGGAAGCATAATGTAACTCAAAACTTTGTATTTTATTGAAGTTTGTGAGAACAAACAATTACGCTAAAAGGTGGCAAAAAGACATAGCTTTAAGCAAAAGCATAACCATGTGGCAAAACCACAAAGTATGGGAAGCATAATGTAACTCAAAAACATTGTGTTTTATTGAAGTTTATGAGAGGAAACAATTACGCTGAAAGGTAGCGAAAAGGCAAGGCTTTAAGCACGCCAAAGACAAAATACATAAATCTAATGTATTACCCAAGCCAAAGAGAGAATTCAAAACACAGAACCCGAAATTACGTGGCCACGTGGTAAATGGCCAAAAATTCGGGAACAACATTGCGCCCGTAAATTACTGTGACTTGAGCCACAAACGAGTGATAAAAGTTACAAATTATGAATGGGAAGACCCTAAGGTAACGGCCCATAACAGGTAACAATGTAGCAGCATACAATGAATGTAGAAACACGCAAAATAGAGAAACAATAAGCTTTAATTTCCACAAGGGATACACAGTACGTCCGTCCGTGGAGGTGACAAAGCAGTTTTGTGTTTTGATGCGATGTCATGACTTCCAGGTCACGTGCCGAGATTTTGTCAAACACATCCACACACAGTTGAGATGAGAAACAAAATGAGTTGGTCGAGAGACGTATGTGGTCAAAGCGTGGAAGCTTACCGTGCACGAGCATGAAATTGTTGGTTGCAACCATAGAGATCCTTGGGTGTGTTCAGGTGAATGTTTTTGGGTTAGAAGCAAGTTTCCACATAGGATCGAAGAAGAAAAAAGATATGCAGTGTGAGATGGAAGTTTAAAAATAGTACTTGATTTGTCTTGGCTGTCGAAGAAAATCAGTGGAACAAGAAACGAAATTGGACATAGTGGTCCAGCGTAAGTAACAGTTCACAAGAATCCTTCCAAAGAAGGAGTTGTATACCTGTCACTGATGGCGCATCTGGTAACCATGGTAGCTAGTGTAGGACAGTTATGTGAGAGTCCTGTGAAGACTCACCGAGAAGGAGGTTGGTCAGCAAGAATGGACCGAAGTGATTGGCTGCAAACATGGACTCCAGTCCCTCATCGGTAATCTCCTTGGGCAGACCTGGAAAACGGAGACAGACATAGTTCAGATATGTTCTCTGATTATGAAGATTCAAGGTCTCTTAAAGAATCACATTTGTCAAATAGCATGTAAAATGATATTTCACTATTTGTGTGTTCTGCAATAAAACATTGACTCAGTCTTCCATCAAAGCTGAGAATGACTTCCCAGTGGATGCAGTTGCTGCAACAGCGGATCATGGGGCTGTGAGGAATCACCACCAGCTTCATGTCCAATCCTTTGGGACTTTAATGATAATACATGATTCACATGAAACAAAAGTGAGGTCATTTTCATGGCAATGGTCACACTTCAGGGCTGTGCAGACCTTGTAATATTAGTCATGATGAACACACTTTCATTCATTCATGTATATGACACACACTGACACACCCTACATCCATGACACAGTAACATTACACAAGTATCCTACTAAAGACACAGTAACATTACACAAGAATCCTACTAAAGACACAGTAACATTACACAAGTAGCCTACCTAAGACACTGGCATTATTCACAAGAATATCCAATCTTCTCTCAACCTTTAAGAATTCCTCAGCAAATTTCCTCACAGATGTTAGTGAGCACAAATCTATGATTCCCACAGTGACATTTTCATTTCCTGTCTCTTGTCTGATCTGGTCACAGGCGACCTTGGCCTTCCCTGCGTTCCTGCAGGCAAGGATGACCCGCGCGTTACGAGTCGCAAAGTCCAATGCCGTGTAGAAACCTATGCCTGAACAGAATATTCTTTGATTACTGTGGTACAACAGATATTGAGCTCCTCCACACTCCTGTATAACATGGATAACAAGCAACTGACAAACACCCACTTAGTCCTGCTATCTTATTACCATGCTTATGGGTTTTTTCCATTTATTTTTTTATTATTATATATTTAATACATTTTTATTCTTAACAGTGTTCCTACGCTTTAGTTTTTATAATCCATCCCATCAGTATTAATCTTATTTCTGCTCACCTGACTGCTTATGTCATGCCCTGCTTGCCTGTCACCCGCTATGCATCCTGAATCTGTTACTGTTAGTATTAGTAATCAATGTTCAGCTGACATATCTGAAGGTCAGCCTATGTCTGGTATAGCAGCCACATTGAAAAAGCTATTTATGGCCATTACTCTGCCATTTTTGTACAAAATGTGTTTAATTAGTCGTAGGATTTAACATATATGTTAAATTTTTTTCAACATTAAAATTTTGACCATGTTTAGACTATACCCTTAATTTTTCTCAAAATGCAAATTGGCTACGTAAACTGGTTCAGTAACATTTTGCCAATTGTTTATTCAACAGTCTATTGTACCAGTATAATGTAGGTAAAGTCTGACTATAGTATGAGCATTATATTAAGCTAAAAAAACTAAAGGCTTGGTTCTCAGGCACTTTCCGCATCATCATAAAGTGAGCCGCACATTTTGTTTTTATTTTCATTTTCAAAAAAGAAATTCCTAAAATATTCTGCATCTCGAACACATGACCTCGGCGGAGAAATGCTAGAATATTTAAGAATAGTGTGATCCAAAAAAGAAAGGAATACATTTAAGTAGGGAGGCCCTTTCCTAGGTTGACTATACACAACTTTTTATTTGGTTACATTCCAGTTTGAACAACCAAAATAAAATAAAGAAAAACTCTACACTATATATTTAGAAGCCATTGTCTGTGAACCAATTCTTTAATTTTTTAAAGCCGTAGGTAAAGTATAGCTATTGTATGAGTAAAATACATCCTACAATAGGGATGTAAAGAATTATAAGCATTATAGAGTGAGTGCCAAACACTTTATTAACAATGCTGCAAGATCTGACATTTATACTGATAGGCCCTCACTCTGAAGGTTCATACTAAAATGAACTCACACAAAGTCAAATACAATTACTAAAATAGATTACAAACATAAGGCCAGATATATGAACACTTTCTATATAAATTCTAACTACCGGAATAACAGGACTAACTTGTTGACATGCCTTGGTTGCGTGCTCCCGATGTCTTTTTTTGTTGGAAATAAAATTAAAACTGGTTGCCAGAGTGTCTGTTACACAGCTGTATTTTGTGAGGGCAAAGGTGTGCTCTATACACAAGGATATGGTATTACAGTACTTTAAAAAATCATGACCCTCAAATTTAGAAAATGACCCCCCAAAACATAAAAATATTTTGCGGGTCTTCATGACTGCCATTTGTCAAAGGCTAAATCCTGTCTTCAAAGACAAAACCAAAAAACATGGGCAGTGTCATTGGGACCGATTTGGGACAACCTTTGTCTAAATGCTCATTAAATTCCAAAGGCTAATTCGTTCGTTATGAACATAAACATTGTCTTTGACAAGAGTACACACAGAACCACAAAGTGGGTTCTCTATGTCTGTTCATTATATCCATCCATTTTATATGATAAAATATACAGTAAATGGAAGAGACCAAAAAAACAGTTTGTTATATTCCTTAGTTTGTTATAAGAGTGCTAGCTATAAATGTAGTTTACTGTATACATGGTATAATCCTTGGTCCAGAGACGGAAATCAGTAAGGTCTCACCCATAGCCTACCATCACTACCACTTTATGCTGACCTGGCACATAGTGCTTCTTGTAGAAATCTAGTTGTGTGGTAAAGACTTGTATTTCTCGCCTTCCAAGGAACATGCTCAGTCCCAGCAAAGTCATGTATATTCACCATGTTGTATATATTTGTTAGGTTCTTATATATATATATGTTTGATGTTCATGTTAATAAATCTGTGTATATTGTACATGTCATCTCTTGGGACTTTTGAAATCACTTTATCTGAATGGTTCACAAGCTTGTCTGTTCCATCTGATAGTGTGATGCAATTGTTCGTACAAAGAAATGTACACAGTAATAAAGATAATAAATTTCATTTCTAGCCGATATTGTTGGAGTAACCACGGTAACATTTAGGCATGAAACAATATATTGATTCTGCTGGAAATTGCATCACATTGCAACTCATTTTTATAGTTTTAGATTATGAACATTCAACAATTTTTTAACATGTTCAATGTGGAATACAAACATGTACAAAAACAAATACAAAAAAGAGACAAATATCAATACAAAAAAGGCGTCTTGGAGAAATCCATAAAAAACAAAATAGCAACTACTTCGACTAAGACATATATTTAACTCAAACGATGAAACATTTTCTGCAAATGTCCAGAATGAGTGTTAATGTATGGTTAAGTTTTCAATATGTACTGACACATATGACAATAAAGTTACTGGCGCTACCCCTCCTACCTGTGTTTGCTCCGGTGACAATGGCAGTCTTCCCCGACAGGTCAGCCTTACTCACACACCTGCCCATGGTGACTTTGAGGTAGATGATGACAAACAGGGACACAACAATGGCACCCAGTATGGTCAACAAGATACAGTCCAAGACATCCATCCTCACTGCTTACCAGATGATTACTGAAACTGGATGGAAATATTTCAGTGACACTTGTCATCAAAGAGTTATTGTTCATCACAGCATGATGAAAACTGAAGTTATGTTTAACTGCCAGCTGTACGACCTGGGGATACGCATACTGGCAGTCACAGTGTAATTTGCTTGGGGTAACTCTTCAACATGTGTGTGTACATACATTCTAATTTGCATAAAAGTTTTTTATATAAAAGCTGGTTTTCCCCCTAAAATCACTTTTGTGTTGTCATATTTTCACCCTATTCTCTGACAACACAAGCCTGATACATGACCAGATTGAATAACAGACTTCACACGATAAAGTCAGCATGTAATTTACCAGGAGGAAGACCATCTGATGTGCAGTTAATCAAAATATTTATGAAGAGACACTTTTCAATACAGAATGATGCATATCGGGTACAGTATCATTGAGATTAATATTTCTTTGCATCATTGAAATGTTTCAGCATGTGTAAACACAAAACAGATATATTCTTCTTCACGGGTATGTACCCTACATTCCTCCATCATTTTCCAAGATTAATTCAATGAATCAAGCAATAGACTAGTTCTAGCAAGAGGGAAGTCAGCAAATGCTCCGACCAATGAGGGCTCCGATCCTGATGAGCAATAGTTGTTGTGCAGCCTTGACATTGCTTCAATGTGAGCCAAGGGTTCTGTAGCAACAAGGTTCATGCATGGAGTAAAGCTCATTTGACTTAGCACAATAAAATTAGACACGAGTCACTACTACACCACATATCGGTCCAATGTGTTCCTGGTGTACAGTAGTGTAAGGTACCTGAATGAACAAGCATGTTCAGGGCCAATACTCGGAGTGTGTGCTATTCTACTGCATAAAGAGGACTTGTTACCTGCACAACAAATTCCAGCACCTTGGGCGACTTAACACTGACAGTCTGTGTCCCATCTTCCAACTGTCTTCTGAACATTTTTTTATCAATATTATATAAATCTCCTGTTCCATTTATTTTACAGGTGTGTGTGCTTGTACTAGATACCATGCCGCAGTTTAACATGAACTCCACACTCAGACACAGTATACTGACTCCGAGCCAACCAGTCCTCGTTTCAGCCAACTGTTTTAGCTCCTTAATGCTGAGTGCCAGGTAGGGTAAAAACCAGTACCATCTTGTCACATCTTTTGGTATGCTATGGCCTGGGATCGAACCCCCAAGGTAGACCACAGGGTTAAAAGGAAGGAATTACCAGCAGGCCTGCACAAGGGCACAAGTTTGCTGGGTGAGATGCCCTTTGGTGTATGTGACCCAGCTGAACACAGATCACTTTCAAAGAGTCTTACTTCATGAAAATAAAGAAAATAAAAGATATCTCCCAAACATTGTCAAACACTAGTCTAACGGGTTATAGCTAACACGGCACCTCAGCAAAATGACGAGTGATAACGGCACCAATTGGAGAAAGTGGAACCACGCCCAAGCCAAAATGGCTGCCACTGTGAGGCGAAAACAGCATGTTATTGGGAGCACTTCCATGAATGACGCCACTGGGCTGGAGCCCCCTACTGCCAACACACTTGTCACACAGTCTACACAGGCTCACAGAAAGGCAAAAGATGAAGCATGTGGATTCTGAGTTGAGGTGCTGTGCTGTTGATTAATATTGTTGTTACATTATATGAGTTTATTTGTACTCTGTAATTTATATGATGCCATTTATTAATAGTGTTGTCACAAGCACAGTTAAGAGATTTAACTGTGATTTAGCAGCTTATTGTTACAGCAGAGTAATTGATTGTATTTTGGGTAAAGGAACAGGCATCAGAGAATATCTACAAGTCTGGCACGTGTATCATTGGGGATGCCCAACAGAAACTCGCTGACCCTGACAAGCCTGGTGGATGTCCAAACCACGCTACACTTGTCTGGACGTCAGGAAGTCAGCAACGTCCATGCAGGATGACATGTCTGAATTCTGGCAAGGGTTCAAGGATGGGGATCTCTCCCTGCTGATCAAGTGCATGGTTGTACCATGGACTAGTTGTATAAAGTTCAGATGAAATGTGCTTTGACAATGTCGTGGAAGAAATGATAAATTACTTTAGTAGTGATGTGACAATGATAGAAATCTGAAATATGTTACCAATGAATAAAGCATATACTACTACACAAATCTTTCTTATCGTTATTATAAACATAAAGTGCCAGATGAAATCGGTGCCGTGTTAGCCTCCACCTGGTCAAATAATGGGGGTCCTACTAAATAATGTCCGGGGGCATCCGGGGAGCATCAAACACATCAAGGAGAATGATACCAAATAATAAAGTTTTATCTATATAATTGTGTTCTTGTATCAATTATTATAAAGTACCATCAATGTGCATTTACGATTTAAGATATTTATGATACATTAGCCTCACAACATCTTTATTTGCATATCACCTACTCTACTGGGCTTCATACCACCACTATTGTTCCTGATAAATACTTGATTCTAACTTATACCATCATCATCATCATCATCATCACCATCATTTCAAGGTTTTATGTCGACTTCAGAGTCCATCTATTTCGCTGACGGAGTTGGTGGGGTTAATAATAAACAAGTGAGTGAACCGCCATAACAAAACAACTGTAAAGGTAGGGAATATAAATATACATAGCCATGTATATAGCCATGAGCCAACCAGTGGCCATAATATATAGTATGAGATAAATGCATTGCATAATTGGGCTAACATTATATATAACAGTTAAGCTATTGTCATTATATAAGGGAAGCTATTGAATAAAGAAAGAGGCCTTAGAGTTTTAAGTTAGATCTAGACTTGACGCGACAGAGACGAGGGATGCAGCCATCACCATTTTGCCTACACCATCAGTCAGGCCTATGATCGTAAGCGCTGATTCTTATGTAAATGAATCTCTTTGAGATTCATCTCACATCCAGTCAGCTCTATACTCTGATGAAGAAAGGTGATTGATTAAAGCCATGCAAAACTATTTTTCTACTTCAACACAGATATGATGGGTGCAGCCTTCTATGGACCACAGTTCATTTTGTCTACAGTCAGCTTGACTACAGAAATTGTAGTAAGGTGGATATTCTCATGATGATCGAGCCAAACTTGAGATAGACATGTTTAATAGACTGACTACAATGCATTATTTAACTCCCAGACATCAAATGGAAGCTGTCACAGCTGAAAATTGTTGACGTCATTCGCTAATTGTGGTCTTCTAAAACGGTTGTCATGGCCAGTGCATTTTTCTAAAGGGGAGCCCAAAAGGATTAAGAATTGATGTGTAATAAAGAAATTATTACACGAGCATGTGTGTCAAACTGATATTATGTATCTTGTCTAAGAATATTGATGTATTGCCCACGCTCTCGCTCAGGAAAAACAAGAATTGTGACTCTTGTTTTGTAAAATCAGTATCACACACATGCTCATATAAAAATCTCTTATGTATGCCATTAACAGTTGATATTCTCATTATCGCACCAAACTTAGAAAGACATTTTTTATTTACTAACTTCACTGAATACTAGGCCTATTTCATTCCCGGACGTCTGATCATGCTGATGAAGCCGCCCATACGTTCGGGTGCAGGCTAAAACGGCACCTCAGCAAAACGTCACCGATTTCTCTGGCGAAAACGGCACCGCATTTGGCGAAAACGGCTACTATGTGTCGGGCGAAAACGGAACCTCTATGTTTAATAACGATAACAACGATTTTTGTAGTAATATATAGGGTTTATTTACATGGTATTTGATGTATTGAGTACATCTGAAGCCGTAGTGTGAATTTCCGATAGGTTTGGTACTCTCATTTCTTCAGGATCTTCTGACTGGAAACTGACATGAAAGTTACCGATCACCTCTTCAATGACGGGAGCTACGCATTTCACACAGCGGAAAGGGAAGTCAGTACGGCAAATTTCTCTATAACGGGCCATAGAAAGTCCGGTTCCGCTGGTCACAGTTATCACATGATACAGCATGTTGATTTTTTTTTGTCATTCTTCTCGCATGCAACACATCGAAAGGCCATTGTGAATAATTGTGATCTGACAGCACCATGTTAGGCCTCTTAAATACAGTTTCAGCTTAAATTGAGTAAAGGTACTTAAAACTAATTTCTTATTTGTTTTATTTCACAATTAGTTGGGTTTGTAAGAGACGATGTGAGTTTAATTTCTATTATCTTTTTCGTCAAAGCATGTTATGTTTTCACCATAAGTTGAGTTGCGTATAAACTAAGTTCGATTATAGTTGGAGCAGAGGCTAATTTCTAATGTAAACTTGTTTTAACATCTCACAATTATTGGCCTTTGCAAGTTACAATGTAAGTTTAATATCATTCATTTGACCAAGGTAAAAAAAAAAATAAGGTGCCGTTTTCGCTCGAGTCGAGGTGCCGTTTTCGCCAATCGGTGCCGTTTTCGCCCGGTGACGTTTTGCTGAGGTGCCGTTTTCGCTATAACCACGTACGTTCCCGGACGTTAAATAGTAGGACCCAATAATGGCAATGGTTAAGAAGCATGACAAAGTAAAGGGTTAAAAAAGAAATCACAAAGATTAACTGCGATCGTTGGTGAAAGCTTGAACCAACTGACCGGCCAGTCGACCCGAACCCAGTACAATTGATGGCTATCCATAGTAACTTACGGAAACAATAATTTGTGTCTCGAAATATAACATTTAAACCAGACCTAAAGTATTCCAACCAATCGTGGCTGGGGATAAAAGGAAGAAATTGAACAACAATTAGTCGACAATATGACACCATGTCTAGTCAATGGACTAGCATGTTTACCATAAATGGCAATATACCACTCGATCCAGATAATCTTTCTAATCGGCTGGCAAAGTAACGTGTTTCCAAGCAGAATGAAATAGAGTTATCTCCCCTGAAACACCTGTCGCACGTCTACTCAACAAAATGACTATGTGTTCACTCTAGGGTTGATTAGATCAAATAATGAATCCACAAATATATATTTTCGAATTTTGTAAAATTAAGATCTTGAAGTATGTGCTTAAGTATGTGTTATTATGTCTAAACTCATGCGTTAAGCGACGAAGAATTTGATTTCGCGCACTTCCGGTCAGAATGGCGTCTGCAGGTGGAAAAACAAGCTCAGAGTGCTTGATGTTGGATCAAATGAGGCCTTGATATCAAGGGTATATTACGGTAGCCACTTTGCAAATAATCTTTCAAGGACGCACGAGAAGCTGTCGCCTCCGTCATGGGAAATTCAACATCGGGGTACCATGGTCGAGGTAAGATCATACTTCCGGTTGTCAAAAACTGTGGATGTTTATTTTTTTCTGTGAGAGTTCGAACCATGTCCATAGTTTATTGTTTGCAAGTGCATTGTACGCATTTAGTATGGGTATTCGAATAATGTTCTGAGTCATATATAGACTACTGTCAGCACTGTCACTGACGAGTCAAATACTAGCCCTCTTGGATGACGTTAGCCGAGACAGTCTAAAGACATATGACCCTACATCACGGCCGAGAACACTACATTTAGAAATACTAAGCAGATTGTGGTGTCCCATTGGCCGTTTCTTGAGATTTGTGACTGAAACGTTTACAGCACTATGCTCACATCGATACATTTAGGCCGACCTGTCATAATTGTATTATCATAAAGTTCTGTAGGTAAAAAAAGCCCGCAGAACCCTTCACTTTATTTTGATGATAGACTTTTCTACATATTGACATCAAGTGATCAACATATATGACAATACATCACCACTGTTGTCCTCCACCTTATGTGCACTATTCACACTGCACAGTCAGGTCTCACTGTCGTGTTATTGTTTACGTGCTCGCTTTCACAGAATACGCTTTTCCGTGATGTCATAACATGATGTCACCGGTTTCTTCAACACAGTCTGAAATAAACTAAATGAATGTCCAGATGTATTTTCACTCAGTTAGCTGAAAGAGGATGTCACACATAAAAGTGGTGACGGGGATGGGCTCAGTGAACACACAGTTTATTTTTGAAGAAGTCACAAGTATTGTTCTTGGATGAGGTGTATTTGCCAATACAGATTTCTGCTGACATTTTCAATTGTGCGTGCAAACTTTTCAACATTGGATTATTGGAAATTCAAAAAGAGATTGGACCGTGTTTGTGATTTCTATTTATGGATCCATGGATGTGTGACGATGCAAACTGTAGGTACAATAAACTTACCATTTACAACCCTAGTTTTGTTGACATTTGTGATGGCCTTGTTCGGAAAATAGAAGAGTTTGATGACACTTAATGTGACATTTCTACTTATATTGAATGTTTTGAACAGTTTTGCCTCGAATCAAAGAAATGTTATCGATGTGGATTCTCAAACCACAAGGCAACCAAATGCTGAACTACAAGTGCAACAAATGCGGTAAAGTAGGGCATTTGCAGTCTGTATTCAGCTCAAGCGGGGATGTTAATGCTACTCGTCTTGTAGAAGACGTTGAGAGGCACAATGACGACAGAGTAGATTTACTTGGAAATTTTCACAATACGTCCAACAACTCCGAGGCTGTATGAATAGTGGTAAACATAAGCCAATTTGGATGAAAGTTGACACAGGCTCAGGTGTATCAATTATTCCACGAAATGTTTATGAAGATAAGTAATACTCACAACAGACAATTCCCCTTCTTGGTACCGTTGAAGTGGATGTAGAATACAACAGAAGCAACCATATAGTGCCATTGTACGTCACAGCACAGACGCGACAGGGACACCACTCTTCCTATGCCAGCAGATCTTTTTGCTACTTTGGCAGGTAGCACAGTTTTCTCCAAGATCGATTTGACGAAGGTGTTTCACCAGTTAAAAGAAGTAGAGGAAACAAAGAAGTTGTTAGTCATTAACACACACAAGGGACTATATGCCTACAATAGGTTACCATTTTTTGGCTTTGCAAGTTGCCCTTCAATTTTTTCCAAGAAACCCCAGTGTTCCACTTTACGGAGTCAATAAGCTACCAGCAACAGCCAGAGACATAGCTGAAGCCACAGAGAGAGATCTTGTTTTGTCCAAGGTGCTTTGCTACACTCTGAATGGATGGCCTTCATATGCAAAAGATGACATGAAACCCTATTGTAGTAGGCAACATGAACTATCGATTGAGCAAGGTCTCTGTGGGGACTATGAGCCATCATTCCCCCTACTCTTCAAAATCGTGTCCTGGACAAACTGCACAGTGAACATACAGGTATTGTTAGAATGAGGAGTCTAGCCAGAAGCTTTGTGTGGTGGCCAACATTGGATGAAGATGTAGAAGCAGTGGTAAAGTCATGTGGACAGTGCATTGAAGTTAAAGCCACACTGTCGTCATCAGCTCCCCCACATGAATGGCCAGTAGCAAGACAACCATGTGAACATGTTGATGTTGACTTTGCTGAATACAAGGGTCATCGTTTCTTCATTCTAACAGATGCGTACTTAAAGTGGCCTCAAATTTATCCGATACGTGCGATGATGGCCACAAGGACAATAATGGTGCTTAGACATATCTTTGCTACTCATGGCCTGCCATTTGAACTGGTGTTGGACAAGGAGCCCCAGTTTGCTTCTATAGAGTTTGCTGCATTTATGACACAAAATGGAATTATAGACAAGAGAAGTTCGCCATATCATCCACAGACAAATGGTGCTGCTGAAAGATTTGTTCAAGTATTGAAGAATCTTTTGAAGACATTCACAGATGAAAACGAGTCACAAACTCTGGTGTCATGATTACTCATCAAGTATCAATCTACTCCTCATTGCACAACAGGAAGATCTCCTGCTGAAGGAATGTTCTCATGAAACATCAGAACAAGACTCAACTTGCTCCAACCCTGTATGCGACCCGACCTTGTTGAAAAACAACAGAAGGAACAAGTGTCTCAAGGCTCAAAGAAGTTAAGAACTTTTTGTCCTAGAGACCATGTTGCTGTGAAATGATATAGAGGTCCAGATAAATGGACACTAATAATAGTGATGCAAAGACTTGGTCCTGTCAGCTACATAGTAAATTCTAGTGGTCACGGCATGCACGTCCATATTGATCACCTCATCAGTGCCGAGGTCAGGGTTTTTCACCTCAAAGAGACATTTGGAATCTGATACAGGAAAGTGCAGTTCCCAACCTTAATGTTCCTGCTATGTACCTCGTGCCGGGTCCTCTCATGGAAACACGACAATGTCACAGTCTGACATTCCACCTCCTAAGGAAACCAAGCCAAGCAACATAGGTCCATTACAACCTCCACATCCACTGCCAGATGTACCATGTTATCCCAAACGTGTAACAATATGGCAAAAATGGCTCCAGGTGTCATACTTTGCAATTCACGAGCATAAATGAATGACAGGGCTTTAATGGATCATAGTAAGGAACTTGAAGGGCATAGGCATGGCTACTGATGCCAGGTGAGTCGGCTTTTGACTCATTTCAGACGATTGAAAGTGGCTTGGGTGGATATTCCATGACAGATTTCTGTAACCAAAACATTTGACATAATCATGACAAAACTATTTCATCCTGCTCATTCAACGTTTTTATCAGAAGAAGAAATGCAACTGAAAATGTCAAAACAATAAAATAAACAAGAATATCCTAACAAGTGCATTTATTTGCACGTTTCAGGTCTTAGGCTCCCATGCTTGAAAATGCATTAGAAGGGTACCATGGTACATAGATAGTGTTCGGATGTGACATTTAGATGTGTACAATGTCAATAAATAAGTTCCTAATAAACTGTATTCCTGAGCATAATAATCAAAACTACTGATTCAAAAAATATATAATAAGCATTTTAGTTGCCATTAATGATTCATTTATCCATATGAATTATGTTAAAACCGGAAAAAATATTGAAAGTAAAAATTGCTATAAAATGTGCCACTGCAGGCTATATTTAGTACACAAATATTGAAAACTCTCAACATCGCTGAGCATATTCATTGACATTGCGTGAAGAGATGATAGATCACTGAGAGGAATTCCATAAAACTTTATATCTTTTGAAAAGTACTGTATTCGATGTAATAAGCGCCCCGCTCTAATAAGCGCCCACAGCGATGTTTGTTAATATATTGGCTAGTGAACAATCCCAATTAGCATCCTTTTCGATTGATCAATGTACACTTATTTATTCGTGTATTATACGCTCTAATGTGTTATATGCACCCTTAATTAATTAACCGTGATGTATGTGTATTGAAACAGTAGTCATATTGGGAAGACACCATACAAACAGCAAAATAGCAGTACTATTAACTGTATAATTAACAACCCAAACCCATCCAACATGGACACAAAAAGGAATTCCGATAGAGTGATGAATAGATGAGTGAAAAAATATTAGTTACCAAATGAAAAATGTAATAACCCAATTAAAATAGAAACCTTGGAGTAAAAACTCAATTGCTCAAAAAGTTATCTGCAGCTCTGCCATACTGCCGGTGTAGGCTTATCACACAATCAAATTTTTCTCTTGTTTATACACAAACGCACTTACTCTGCAATAAGAACAGGCAGTCCTAATGCAAGCCTTTTGGTGTGCTTTACATATTGTTTTGCATAATTATATACACTTACTACTAGAACTGTGACAGTGAGGTGCTTGACAATATAGATTTACCCATCAAAGTGACCAAATCGCTAGCTCTTTATAGGGCTTGGATGACTGCACATGGAGGATAAATGTGCAAATGGAAATAGTTCTTCACATTTTAGGATATTTTCTCAATGAAAGTTATTCTTTTCTAAATGTGTAGACTCGTCCAAAATGAAACTGATGAAAAACACATGAATGGACTATGTACGTGAGATGTGCCAGAGGTAGGCTGGCCGCAAGGAACTTTGGTAGGAGAGATTGGCTTCGTACGAC